CATACCACACTACATTAACTACAATTCAAGGTTCAGAGTTATTAGTTAATTTAACAATGAATTCATTAGTAACATCATACGATATAGCAACTGCTATAATGAATTGGTTGAATACAAATGTTAGTGAGAAGTTGAGTTAAACACTGAACCCCCTGTTAGTGTTCATAGTTCTCCACCTATCACCGTTCATAGTTCTTCAACGCATACTGTTAATTCATCATCATCATCAGAAGAAAATGCTAATTATGAAATAGCACCGTTGACTGACATTCCTGTCCCTACTGATGCTGAAAGTGAAGATGAAGATAAGGATAAAGATAAGAATAAAGAAAAACAATAAAAATAATAATAATAATAACAAAAAATTTAAATAAAAATAATAAACAATTAAAATAGAATTTAAAATAAAAATAATAAACAATTAAAATAAAGATTAAAATAACAAATAATAAAAATAATAAAAAATAGAATAAAAATAATAATAATAATAACAATAATATTAAAATAAAATAAAAAAAAATAAACAATTTAAATAAAGATTAACATAAAACAAATACAAAAAAGTAAAAACAAAAATTGAAATCAAAAATAATAAAAACATAAAATACAAATTAAAATACCAGAATTTGTACAAATGCCTTAAAGAAAAAATGACTTTATTATATAAGATAAATGCCATTCTATAGCAGACACTCAGATGATGGAAGCGATAGATTGTTAGGAGGAATACATGATGAAGATGGTTATAATGACTTTATGAATATGTTATTTATGAATAGTAGTTTTGCTGATAACATTGAAAGACATTATAAAAGTTCAGATGCTGATGTGTTGCCAAGTCCTACTGATAGCGAAGAAACAAAAGAAAATAAAGAGAAACAGTATCAAAAGGATTATCATAAAAAAATACTTTCAAGAAAAACTTAATACACCTTATACATGTAATATTTGTGGAAAATCAATGGCCAACAGTTCTAACAAATCAAGACATGAAAAAAGTAGAAAGTGCCAGAGTACTAAAAGTAATGTCTAATTGGGTAATATTAATTGGATAATATTAATTTAATTTTAATTTAATTAATGTAATCCAATTTCAATATATGAGTAAACTATATAAAGAACAAATATTAAGCAATCTGTATTATGACCTTGAGACAGGCTATGGTTCTAAACAAAGCTTATACAATCAAGCAAAAGAGAAAGGAGCAAGTGTAACATTAGAAGAAGTGGCAAAGTGGTTGAAGAAGCAACCTAACAAGCAAGTAAAGCCGTATCAGAATTATAACAGTTTCTTAGTGCCTTATGCCAGAGCAGAATTTCAAATAGATATTATGGATATGAAAATATTCAAGAAAGAAGATGAAGAACGCTATGCATTGATTGTAATAGATGCTTTCAGTAAATTAGGTTTTGTGTATCCAATGTTACAAAGAGACAGTCCAAATGTTTTGAAAGGGTTGAAAGAAGCATTTAAAGTTATGGGTGAGCCTGTGGAAATCTTTTCTGATGATGATGGAGCATTTAAAGCAGAAGTAAAGAAATATTTAGATGATTTAGGTATAATACATAAAACAACGCTAACACATGCCAATATTGTTGAACGCTTTATCATAACCATGAAAAAGGGTATAGGAGATAGAATAAATTTTACTAAAGGTAGATGGACTGATATGTTGAAACCTACATTAAAGAAATATAATAGCGCTATTCACTCATCAACTGGAATGAAACCAAATGAAGCTCATGATGATGACAACAGAGCAAATGTAAAAGCAAACCTTACACTGAAGCAAAAGCATATGAGGAAATATCCTAAATTATCAGTTTCAGACACAGTGAAAATATACCAAAAAGGAAAAGGTAATTATACATCGAGGAAAGAGACCAACCCAAAGTGGACAGAAAGGAAATACAAAATAGAAAAGATAGAAAAAGATATAACATTACAAACATACTATGTATTAGAAGGTTTGAAGAGACATTATTTGCGCCATGAATTATTACTAATTGAAAATTAGTAATAATAATTTAGACTGATAATTAGTTATTTAGTTCTTAGAATTTTTTGACTTTAAAAAGACTTAAAGAGAAAACCAATAATTAAATTATATAGATAATAATATGAATAGAGATTCACCGCCAGATGAAAACACTAAAATAGTTAAGTATCTTCTTAAAGAAAATTTAGGAGAATACAAAGTAAATAATAAAGGTAAAAAACTTAAAACCATAATTATAGGAAACAACCAGTATAGATATAATCCAGAAAAACCAATAAGTAATAGATTGAATAAGAGACTTGAAGCAGTAAAGAAAACTAATGACTACAGAGCAAATCAAATCAGAGAAAGAGTAGGAGCGAGAACGGTTTTAAAACATGCTATTAAGAAAAAAGCAGTAATAACAGAAGAAAGAAGCGCCTTTAGAGCATATGCTAACGCCTACACAATTTCAAACATTCATTTAAAAGAGTTGAACGGATTGACTTATTTTAATTATCAATTTGAAAAACTTAATGAATACTTGAAAGAGAATAGAGGAATGAAACTTAATGCTGCAATAAATATGAAAGTTATGAACTTATTTGATGAGGAGAGAAACGTAACAGTTAGGACAAGGTCGTACACTATTGTAAATGAAGAGGATTTAAGGAATGCTTTGAAAAGAATGAGACCTGATGTTGAAACAAGAATTTTAGATATGGCTTTGTATCAGTCAGGATTAATAATTAGCAATATTCATAATATTCATATCATGTATAATAAATATAATCCGACTAGAGCTGGCAAATATATTGAACTTCCAGAATGGATTAAAAAGAAAAAGGCATGTATCAATATTAAAAATCAAGATGACAAGTGTTTTAAATATTCTATTGAGTGTGGATATTGTAAAATGTGTGATAAAGCACACCCTGAAAAGATGTTTCATTACAAGAAGATAGCAAGTGATTTGATTTTTGATGGTGTGAGTTTTCCTGCTAATAATAATGATATAGATATATTTGAAGAAAATAATAAATCAATATCCATTAATGTTTATGAAATTGATGATAATGAACAAATTTTTATTGGTAGAAAATTGAAAAATAAAGATGCTTCTTGTCATCTTGATTTGTTGAGAGTTGATGAGGAGGATTGCAGTCATTATGTGTATATAAAAAGTTTGAGCAGACTTATTAATAATCAAAAAAGTAATCATAATGGTAAGTCCTATTTTTGTAAATATTGTAATCATGGATTTAGAAATGAAGAATTATTAAATAAACTTTATGATAGTGGATGCATGGAAGTTGATGGTCAACAAATAGTAATGCCTAAGCCTTATGAGAAAGTTAGTTTTAAGCATCACTTCAAAAAGTTAAGATGTCCTTTTGTTGTATATGCTGATTTTGAATGTTTGACAGAGGAACTGAAAAACCTGATGAAGATGAAGATAAAACACTTTTTCTTATCAAGAGCATAAACCATGTGGTTTTATGCTTAATATGGTTAATGCTGTTGATAATACAAATTATGAATTTATGTATCGTGGTAAAGATGCTGTTGATGTGTTTTGTCAAAAACTTAATGAGATTAGGGCAGAAGTAAAGGAGAAGATGGGAGAAAACGAAAAAATAGACATGACTGATGAAGACAAAGAAGATTTTAAAAATGCTAAAAACTGCTTTAGTTGTGGGGATAAGTTTAGAATGAACTATAAGAATGCCAAGGAAGCAGAGAAATATAGAAAAGTTAGAGACCATTGTCATTTTACAGGTAAGTATAGAGGTTGTGCTCATAATGTTTGCAATCTTATTTTTTGTAATAGATATTTTAAAATTCCAGTATTCTTTCATAACATGAAAAATTATGACGGTCATTTAATTATTCAAAATGCTGATAAATTAAGTAACAACAGTAAAATAGGTGTCATCGCTCAGAACAGTGAAAAATTTATTAATATCAGTTTTGAAAGTTTGAGTGTTAAAGACACTTTTGGGTTTTTAACTGCTTCATTAGATAAGTTAGTGTCAATGAGTAAGTATGATAATACAGATGAAGAAGATAAAAGTAAATGGTTATTGCGTGAAAACTGGAAAGATAATTTTAGGTTTAGTAGTAAAAATGATGTGATTAAGAGTGAGAAATGTCTAGATTTATTAACTGATAAAGGCGTTTATCCTTATGACTACATGAATTCATTTGATAAATTTGATGATGAGCAATTACCGAGTAAGGATGGTTTTTATAGTCAGTTGAGTGAAGAAGGTATAAGTGTTAACGACTATGAAAGGGCAAAAATTATATGGAAGCATTTTGACATTAAGAATATGGGTGAATACCATGATTTATATTTGAAAACTGATGTATTATTATTGACTGACATTTTCGAAAATTTTAGAGATGTATGTATGAAATATTATGGAATGGACCCTGCTTATTATTATACATTGCCTAACTTTGCTTTTGATGCTATGCTTAAAATGACTGGTGTAGAGATTGATTTAATATATGACCAAGAAATGTATGAAATGATAGAAGCGGGACTTAGAGG